CCCTCTGGTTCATCCTCATCTGGCAGTGTTCTGTCCAGGACGGGGTAAAGAGGGATGCTACAGGTGGGGGGAAACTGTGTAGTTGGCACTGTGGGAGCAGGCATGGGATCACTGCTGCTGGACTGTAGCCAGAGCACTACTGCTGCTGCCAGAAATGCCATGGGATCTTCATGGCCACAAGTCAGGCCAATGGAGAGAAATTCTTGTGTTTCTTCCAACAGCACTGCCGGGATGTGTGTGTGCTCTCCTCCCCTGGCCCAGCTTTTACTGGGGAGGGGGCGATCTCTAATGAAATGTCTCTTCTGTAGCATAGCGCTGATCTGGCTTCAGGAGAAGCAGGTTTCTATTTATTTATTTATTTATTTATTTTATTTATTCTCCTTCTCAGTAGGGAGTTTCAAATGGGAAAGAGAACATTAAGGTATCAGTGAGCTGGAAAACGCCTTGCTTTGGACAGCAAACGTGCTGTGTACGAAGTGTGTGTGTCTCGATGCTCTGCAGAAGCCGTGCCTTCCTGGTTCCGCAGAGGTGGAAACACTGTGTTGGCTTGCTTGGGTTTACCTCCTGGGAGATCCCTGTGAAGGCAACGTGCCCTGTTATGGAAGCCCTGCAGTATTGCTCGTTTTCCCATCGGAGGAGCCTTTTGGGAGGGAGCTTGTAGTTATGGTACCCAGCAGCTTTCACAGGGCAGAGAAAAGCTTAATGGGGAAGGGACTTTGCATCTCCAAGGCCACCTGAAGCTTGGACATAGCAGTTTTTATGTAGTATCTGGTCACTGTCTTTGTACATCAGTAGTATCATATATGCTTCAGAGGGATGGGTCATCCCTGCAGTAATATATATAGGGTATCTTGTGCTCTCCTCTTCCCAATTTAGTCTCTCCTCAGTCTCTCTGACTCCTGAAAGCATTGCAGATAATCCATCTTGAGTTGTTTCTCACGGGCAGCTGGCAAGAACAATTGAGAAGAGGTTGCACTTCTCTAGGTCAGAGGATTTTGGTGTGAGCTCTGTGCTTCCTAAGACAAAAAACCTCGTTGAAGGTAAACTGAAAGAAGCAAGCCTGGTAGAGACCTCAGTTCTGCCTCTACCAGGTGTGAAACGGTGTTTCACAAGTTTTGGCCCCAAGCTTTATGTGCTTAGCTCCAATTTGCATGTTGTTTTAGACCTTCCAAAGCTGCCTTGTGTTGCCCTTTTGCTTGGAGTGAAACAGTCACCTCTGCAAGGTTCCCAGTGATGAGAGACCTGGGGGTTGAAGGTGTATGCGTGCCTGCAGACCAGACTCAAGTTGAGGGGCCCTGTGTCATCCTCAGGGGATCCAGACTTCCAGGTTAGTTTGCTCCCAGGCTTTGACAATTTTCTCATTGGCACCACTTCTTGTGCATGTCTTGTGAATGCTGGTTTCTAATCCTGGCAGTGAAGGTGCCCCGCTCTTTGGGGAGAACTCTTATCTTGGCTTGCTAATGGGCTCTAGCCTGTTAAAGATAAGGCCTGCAAACCTGATCCTGCTGAGGTATGAGACAGAATTCCTGTTGACTGAATGGAGTCAGCTTTACCCAGAAGGACTTATTTGTGGCCCTGAGGTCTGTATGTGATGCTGGAGAGAAATCTCTTCATCTAATGCTATTTTTTTCTCTTTTTTTGGAAGGGTGGGGGCTAAGGGCTGAGGAGGGAAAGCCAAAGTCCAGAATTGACAGCATGAGTGGGGATTAGACCTCACTGTTCCTCCCACCTTTTTCTCCCTGTTGGTGTGCCTCCATGCTAATTTAGACCTGTGGCAACCATCAAAGCCTTGCACATACCTTTGGCACAAAGGGGCCTGTCTCCCACGTGAGGGCGTTCTCTGCCGGGACAGAGTCAGTTTGTCCCCCAAAAGAAAAATCTTAAGCACCCAATTGCCTGCTTGACTGACTCCCTGACTGCTATTATGTTTCTAACCACGGTAATTGGCTTTAGTAGTTATTAATGGATTATGTTTGGGGAGGGAGGGAGGGACAGAACCCAACACCTAGCTTTGTAGCTGGGGGACTCCCTGACCAAAGCGCTGCTTTCCAGACATGGGGTTTGACTGGTGAGCTGTCGGAGTGGGTGTCTCTCACTTGTTTTCTTCTGAGATATGGGAGACACTGGAAAAGGGAAATGTTCCCTCTTGGCCTGCACTATGGTGGAGGGAAGGCAGGTATTCAGCAGAAACCCTGTTTCCAAATATCAAGTGTTGCATGCTTCCTTAATTGGTCCTCGTAGCTGCTGCACAGCAACAGGAATTGGTTTTTCCTTAGGCTCTCAGACTTTGGTCAGGGAATTCCATGGGAAGAACAATGTGTGCACCCTGCAGCTTCTGCACAGAGAGCCCTGTGCTGCAGGTGCATCGGGCCCGACTGCATCTGCACTGCCAACGAACCAGGGATTTTGCATGTGCGAGAGCCTGGTTGGAGAGACTTTGAAATAACCCTGGTGCTGCGGGCCTTGTCTAGCCCTAACGGGCAGCCAGGACTCACAAGACTTGTGGACACCTCCAAGTATGTGAGTTTGGGAAAGAGGGATAAAGCCAGCAAAGAAGGAGCGCCTTGGTAGCTGTAGCTCTTACTTGATTCCTGTAACTCTTTGGGATGGCTTGATGTTACTGCAGAGTGTATTGGCAGTGCTGCTTTGGCCTTGTGATTTGGAGAAACCAATTGCTTAGCTAAGCCACAGAGCTGGGAGTGGAGGGAGTCCTGACTTCTGGCCCTGCTTCCACATGGCTCCTCTCTAGCTTTGAGCTGGGTGCGTGTTTACTGGTTTGGTGCTGAGCGCCTTGTAACACCAGCAGCAGTGCTTCTCTTGGAACTCAAGGATGCTGCAAGAATCCCTTCCTGGTAGAGCAGAGGCTTGGAGACACCTTCTGACTTCCAAAGGAAGAATGTTGTAGAGGATCAAAGGAATGTTTAAAAACTGCTATTTTTACAGACGTGACATTGTTTCCTTATTTTACTTTCCTCTTTCAGCTGCCAGCCCCATGTCATGCTGCAAAAGATGTTTAGAGCTGGCTTGTATTTAAAGTAGGCTCCGTTTCCTGCATTTGTGCTATCCTTGTTGCAATGACTTAAACATAGTTTGGGCTTTTTATTTTCAGTAGCTGCAATAAATGTGGCTTTGTGAGAGGTCATTTATAGCTCACTTAAAAATCTTCGTATGAGCTGCTTTCTCTTATTTGGACTGAGGATAGGAAGTTGGCACCAAACAAGCAGTGTAGTGTGGAGATCCACAGCACCGGTGTTCCTGCTGCTTGATTTTAAGGATTCGTTCCTGTCTTATCCACTAATTTGAGGCCAGTGGCTGTCAGGTGACCTCTGGAGCCAGCGTGTGCAGCAGGGACATAGCATCGCCAAAGAGGACTTTGGAATGGACCCTGCCGGAGAGTATGAACTGAGCCAAATGTTGCTGCAGGAGAGCTGTGCTGCCTGTGACAGAGAGTGCTCGAGCGCTGGGGAGGGCAACCTCATCCAGCTTTGAAATTTGGCTCTGCTTTGAGCAGGCTGGACCGGAGAACTCTGTTCTGTGAATCGATAGGCCTGTGATGCTGCAGCTAATTCATGATTGTGCGCTGGACATGCCAGCAAACAGAAGCAAGACATGCAGTAGGAAGTAACAGGGAATTTTCCATGGGGTCTTTCTGCAGCTTACAACGCTGACTTGTATATGAAAGGTGCCGAGTGCTGTGCTAACTGTTTTGAAAATGACATTTCAATTTACAGCTGCTCCTGTTTTAGGTTTTCTCTTTGCATATGAAAATACATCTTTATGTCCTGCCAATTCTCTACAGTTGTGACCTGCTGCATCTGGGAAGCTCAGCTGCTGCAGGCTCTGGAGGACCTCTCCCTTTGCTGCTGCCTGCCTCTTGTGAAATGCATGGAACATGCTGAAATAGTCTTGAACCAAAATCCACAGTCTGTCTTGTGGTGTTTGCTCAGTCTTGCTCATGCACTGTTTCTTCAGAACATGAGGCTGAGTAAGTGTTTTCTTTTGTTTTCTTCTTCTTTTTTAAAAACAGATCATTTGTGACGGGGACAGCCTGCTGTGGACACACCTCACCTCTGAGAATCTGGGACCTTGAGAGGTGAGTGAGCTACCAGGTTACAGGGAGGGTCTTGATGGGAGAAGTGAATAACAGTGAGAAATGCAACATTGGAGATGCCGTAAAATCATTCCTTTAGTCCATGTAGGCAAGGGATGTGTTAACATGGGATGTGGGGTGGAACAAATGTGTGGAAAGGTGTATGTGGGGGGTGGTTCTGGTTCAGTAGGGAGCAGCTCAGCCTTTCTTTGCAGTTCTTCTAGCTGATGGCACAGCCATCCTGGTTTCTTCCCATTTCCTGTGTATGGTCAGAATATGCCCATCACATCTTCCTTTTCATCTGCCTCAGTTGATGCTTCAGCCTGAGCTGGAGGGGTGAGGAAGGTGATCTGCATCCTCCCATCCACCCACTTTTTTGTGGTGCTCAGGAGCCAGAGGCAAACACAGGCTCTACAGTCATCCTGGATGGTGTTTCTGCTAGCTCAGGAAAGCAAGGGGTGGCAACAGGTTATCTACGGAAATGATTTAGGCATGTTGTCTTTGCTCTGTCTTAATAAGCATTGAGGAGGTTAATTGCTGTGGCCTCTGATTTGGAGCCATTGAGTAGTTCCTATTCGGTGAAGGTGCTGACCTTAGGAACTGTGGAAATGTTGGGCTCAAATCCTGACGTGAGACTCAACTGCTGACAAATTTGAAACTCTCAGCCTGGGGGTCTTTGTGTGGTGATGGACAGGTAGCAAATATTTGGCAGGATTATTGAACAGCAGCTCAGCTTTCCGGGACTGGTGTGCTCTGGGTAGGAGTGGCACAGCACAGATTATCAAGGGAGTGCCGTCGGGATTAAGGTGAGGTGGTGGGCTCTGGGAGGGGAGAGAGGGGGGCAATGGCAGAAGGGGTCTGAGGGGTGTCAGCTGAGCTGTATTTGGGGAAAGGAGGTAGAGGAGGATTGGTGTGGATGCAGGGCTGGTCTGAGGCCAATTGCCTTCTAATCTATACTTCAGATTGTCTGAGTCAGCTGCAGTGAAGACAAATACAAACCAATTTGGTTTTCTCTGAAGTAACAAAAATAAAGACTTTGCAAAGGATGCATCCCACAGAGGACAAACTAGAAGAGGAAAGACAGCACCGATGCATTCGGCTATAGTGCTTGTTTCCAGGTGACCCCGTCCAAAGGTGCCTTTGGAGTACCCCGGAAGGACACGGGCTGTGCTGTGATACCCCTGCCCATCAAGTCTTGCAGCTGGTCTTGAATAGAGGCATCTGACAGAGGTGAGGAGATAGGCAGCCCTCTCCCCCCTGCCCCAGCCTCTCTGACAGCCTTTCCCAAGGAAGCCTGAAGAGATAATAAAGCTGTGTAGAAAATAGGATTAAGGTAATGAACAGGCACAACGGAGTTTGATCTTTCAATAACGTCAAAGCCTGAGTGACAGGCAAACAGAAAAACCAAGGCAACCTAGGCCATTGGGCCTCTGTTGCAATGGCTGGAGTGTCAAACTTATTCTTCCCTCTTCACCTGTCACAGCTGGAATGCACTCTGCCACTGGGTCTTTTCCTCTCCAGGGACCTGTGTGTGAGCTGAGAGTCTCGTCAGCACGTGCAGGGCAGGAGACTGAGTAGGGAACACGGCCAGAAAACTAGCACATGAAGCTTGATGTGATCATTCATAACCAGGGAGTACAGAGCTCTCCTTCCAGGACTTGACTTCTCTGTAAACTTTTCTTCTTCCCAGCAGAGCTTTGGATTCATTTTCAAAGGCTCCAGCGGTACTTTTTTCTTCCTTTGAGGCTTATGCATGTTGTCTCCCTGGTCAAACTCCAGAAGTGGGAGCATAGCATGAAAACTCAGTCTTAGAGCTACCAGGACTGAAGAGCTCCTCCTCTGCCCAATGTGTCCTGATAACATCTGGCAGACAAATCAGGCCCCCCGAGTTTGCTGCTTACCCCTTCCTTGTGGCCACAATTCCACAGAGTGTGACCTGCAGGGGTTGAACATGGCAAGGACACTAAGGACAGAATCCATGTAACTTCTCTGTCAAAAAAAGATAAGGCAGGGTAGAGCGATCCTTAAGACGTTCTCTTTAAAACTACAGGATCCTTAGCACCACATGAATATTTAGTGATCTCCAAGACCAGGTAGTTCAGTTCACTCTTTTTTCTGCGTGGCGGTGTGTGTAAGTTACACCGCAGCCGTTTCTGTGGCATTCTCTTCCCTTGGGGTAGGTGGTCTTTCTCCTCAACAGCTGAGAGCTGGAACATGCTACAAAAGGATTTAAAGCTTAAATAACCTTTTGTGTACTGATCTTCTTAGTTCCAGGCCAGATAAGTCCTTGGCTGGTGCTTGTAGCTGTTGGTCATGGTATGTTTTCGTATTTATGACCTTCGCTATTCCCTGACCCTGGGGCAGCCATTCTCATCCCCCCAAGAGGAAGGGGATAATGTCTTCACCTGGAAATATGTTCTGGGCTTTGAAAAGGGCTTGGTTGGGTTTGGCAGCAAGGAAATTTTTAGTGGGGAAGGGAAACGCCTCTTGCTGCATCCCACCCCCACAACTGTCTTTCATTTCTGACTCTGCTGAGATGATGGCGTTGGATCAAAGCAGCAACAGGCAGCAACAAGCAATTGTCAAGGGGAGTCTAAAGGAGGGGAATGACCGCGTAATGCCAAGACACTGTCTCTGATGGCTGAAATTCCAGCTGCTGCTACACCTGGCCCTTTCTCTTGTAATGAAGGAGGATTTTTTTTTAATGCTTTTGAAGCTAGCTGCACCTCTGTAGGACGTGTCTCATCCCACAGATGCTACATTGTGCCATCTGATTGCTTTTAGGTGTGGGGAAGTTACTTAGGTGATTAGAGGCCTGCACAGGAAAGGAGAACGATTAGCAGTATGGGCCACGGGGTACTAACCTGTGTCCTTGTATCAGTTATCAGGCCTTGCTGCCTCCTTGGCCCCTTGCAAGTCCCCTTGCCCCTCTGACCCAGTGAGGGATACGATGGCAGCTGCCCTTCTTGCAGGTCAGGTACCTCTGCTCCCTTTTGCCTCTGCTTAGACCTTCCTGTGTCATCTGCCAGTGCCAGGATGTGGCTCAGCAGAACAGCCAGTTAGTGGCAAGCAAGAGACAAGGGGAAACTTCCTTCAGACCCTCTTCCTCTTTCTTTCTCTTCCCACCTCCTATCTCCTTTGGGAGTTTAAACTCCTTGGGAGTTGAGGGTGACACATCACTGGGAACAGCTCCAAAGCCAGCATTTGTCATTTGCCTGTGGAGAACTGTTGCTTCCCAGCCTGCCATGGTGGTCTGCATGCCTTTAGGTGACAACTGCCCTTGCCTCAAGGATGCTTCTCTGTAAGGTAGGATGCAGCAACTCTTGGAGCTATTCTGCCAAGTCCAGTGTATGAAATGGCCCAGTGATCTGCCTGGCATGTAGTCCTCGAGCTGTAAACAGTGCTCGAGTCCCGTGTCGTCCTTTCTTGTGACATGACGTGACAGACACGGGGCACAAGAGCTGTTGTGAAAACTGAGCCAAACTTAGCTGTGCCCTGCAAGCCACCCCAGATCCTCAACCTTTTAAATATCCAGTCTTTGTCCATCTTCTCCTCCCCCCTTTTGAGAGCATTTTTGGCAGAGTGGGGGTTTTTTTTGTTGGTGGTTTTTTTGTTTTGGTTTTTTTTTAAGAACCCTCTAATTTCTTGTTCGGTTTTTCTCCCTCTCCTGAGCCCTTTGAAAGTGGCTTTACGCTGTCACTGACACCAAACTGACACTTTGCGTTTCCCCACTTCTTATCCCTTTATGGCAACAGATGTTGAAATTTTGTATCCCTTTTATCTGTCCCTCTTTGCCCTCTTCCTGTAATTAGGTTTCCCTTGTTAGCAGTACAAAGTGGCCCGGTTTGCTGCCTGGCCTTTTGAGCCATTGTGTCTGAGCACATTTTTTTCCTCCTCTTTCGGAAGAGTTCCTTCCCCCTTAAGTAATAGGCAGGGTGTGGGCCAAAGCTGTGGCTTTTTCTTGTTTCTTTGTTCTCCATTTATCTCTGCCACCTTTTTCAAAGGGATGGGGCGAAAAAAAAACCATAGAGAGTGCATGGAAGGGGAAGATACAGAGTTGCATTTCTTGACCGTCGGGCCCCCCTGCTCTTCAGGTGTTCAGGGCAGGTGCCTTTGATGTCTGTAAGTTTTGGGGAGGTGGGAGGTAGAGGATTCGTGAGGGTGGCTTGGGAGTGGAAGAGGCGGGTGATTCAGGTGTGTGGCTGGTGGCCTCTGCAGAGGGGTGGGGAGGAGTCTTTCGGGGAAGCCAGGCAGCTGCTGGTCAGGTTGGTAATCTGTATTTGCCTCTAGTGCTGTTGCATTGTGCTCCTCTCCCCGAGCCAGCATGAGCATTACCATCGTAGGCAGCTGGCTGAAGTTCGCTAACTTGCTGCTGCTTGATCCCTGGTATGCACCCGTCCTAGGTTACGTCTGCTTGTGTGGTGGGATGGGCAGGAATTAGTAGCTGTCTTCCCAATTTCTGCATATGTTGGTCTGCATCCACTTTGGTGGCTCCTTAGAGCCATTGAGTAAGCGAACGTGAGCAATTGTCAACAAGGAGGGAGAGCTTTACAACTTGGGCTGCTCGTGTTGTTCTTAAGCAACGAGTGTAATTTGACAGTTGCAGTATATAGCACTGAGAAACCCTGGTTAGCTGACCACTGCTTACACTTTCCCATTTAAATCCAGTCCTTTTTGACTTTGCATCCTGTTGTGCTCAGATTTTTTTATATGTGGAAGTAGGTAAATGAAATTAGAAATCTGCAGGTCTAGTTCTTGGTTATAAAGCTTGCTAAATGCTTGCAACAAAAGCTTTTGATGTAGAAGCTTGGCCCAGAGATGCACAAGCAGACTTCTTAGTGTTGTGTTCTGAACCAAGTTCTGTAGAAAATCATTCTCTCCACAGGTTTATAAAAGTTTGAGGGCCTCTAACATAGTAACAAAAGGAGTTTGTTGGGTGAAGGGAGCAAATGGAATCAAAACGGGAGTTGCTAGATCGAAAGGAAAGGTAACTGACTCCAAGA